CTTCCTATTCCGAACTACTGTTACACCTCGTTCCACAAGGAGTAACAGTAGTTCGGAATAGGAAGCCTAATCTGAACTACCTAGTTCGTGCCGCATGTAGCCGCGGGCACAGAGTCTGAACTAGCGGACATTTAAAAATGGCGGCGCCCGGCAACATGCAAATGAAGCCCGGGAAATTCAAATCCCGGGCTTCATTTGCAACTCTGGTTGCCTACATTAACCACCCTAGTTCGAACTAGGGTGGTAGTATAGACATACCCTCACATGCTACAGGACTGCTTGGTATATCACTGCAATAGTTATTCTTCCAGAAAGTGTTGGGAATTACTAAAACCATGTGTTTTGTTTTAGCTCATTTAATGCTAATTCACAAAGAATGGCTGGAGTCTTCCTTCCTCCTCCACTGCCTGGGATCACCATTGCGACCACTTTCCCTGTCGTACCTCTCAAGTAGTGCAAAGATACCAGATCCGGCCACAGCTTCCTCGTTGAGAATTCTTTCTATGGCAGGGCTCTTTTGATGGAAAGCCTCCAGAGCTGGCTCCTATCCCAACTGCCCACTCAGCCCTGCCCTAACTGATGGCCCTAAATGCTTTACTCTTACCTAGCATGTTCAAATCATGAAAAAATGCCCTGTAATATACACAGACTATTCAAGATATGCAGTATTAGGTTTTAGTTTAACATGTGTCAGCATTTGTCGCTCATGAATTTTGCATCTGCAGGGCTCATTTCTCAATCACTCCATTGTCTAATATGCAATTTCCCTGTGCTGTATAATGAGGGTGCTATTTACAAGGCTTTTAAAATTACCACCACTCCCCAATACTTAAATGGCAACTGAATGATTTTGAATTCAAGTGAAGATTTTGAATAAGGGCAGTGGGATTTCACTGCTATTAAAAGGCAGATTGTCTCTTTCAGACACAGTCCAGAAGAGGACCAGAACAGCCCTAATTGGAGCACCCCAAAACATTAGCTGGAGGGAGACGCAGAGCCTGCCAGTGCAGACAGGAGAGCAGAAGGAATGTGCCAACTATACCATCATGTGACCATAGCCATGCTCTCTTTCTGTCTTAGTTATGACTGGGCTCCATTTCAGGAAACAAAAGGATGGGAAGGCTTCTTGCTTGTTCACCCAACATTGTGTTTCCCTTGTAGGAGCTAGAGACAATCAGTCCCACAAGCACTAACAAAGTGTCAACAGTGACTGAGTATTTCCAATGAACTTGGCAACAAAAAATATGTTTTTTATGTTTGAGCTCGTGGTATAAGATACAGCTCAAATGCCTCAAATCAGACACACACAAATCTGGAAGGCCCTGATGGTACCACTTCCATGAAAAGCTGCTGTCTGACACAACTGTACCCTTATAGAAAAAAGAGACTAATAATAGTAGGACTTATTCCAATCTGTGTGGGTTGCAAAATTGGATGGGAAATCAAGCCTTTATATCCTATTTGAACTGAGTCAGGAATACCACAAGAGTAGCACAGCTCATGATTTTTTGAAATATCTGCTTCCTGACAAAGGCAGCTGGTGCTGAGTTGCACAGAAATAAGATAAATGCTAACCAAACTCCTTTTTCTAACTTTTGAAAGATTTCTCTTTGAGTTCTGCATGAAGATCCAATTTAGTTATTGCTTAACTGGAATTGCCCTTCCTCTCTACCACAGGAATACAGTACACCATGTACCTTCACATGGCAAAAGGAAGAAATGAGAATCCTTTAAAAGCACTTCTTGTTCTCCAAAGATTAAAATAAAATAAAATAAATAAATAAGTCTGGAAAAGCAAAGGAAAGGAAAAAAAACCCCACGGAAATATTTAAAGAATTTCCAAATTCAGTAACACCCTGAATTATTACTTGAACATTCTTTTGTTTGTGCTCACAGAGTGCAACTATGCAGGAAAGTACAAATCTGTATGCAATACAAAATCTATAGCAGTAGGTAGAAGGAAAACCTGGAAGGAAAACCAGTGAAGTTACATACTGTTATGCTACTTCTACACTGCAGGTTATTTTCCTTTTGTACAAGAGCGTCCATGGCAGTGTGGACGCTCTCTTGCGCAAGAAAGTTCTGATGGCCATTTTAGCCATAGGGCCTTCTTGAACAAGAAAATCATGTTGCCTGTCTACACTGCCTTCTTGTGGAAGAGCTCTTGTGCAAAAGGGCTTATTCCTCATGGGGAGAGGAATAACTCTTCTGGAAGAAGCTCTGTTTTCTGACGCTACACTGTAAATTTACTTGTGCAAGAACGAGTGTGCAGTGTAGGCACCCGGCAAGTTTTTGCGCAAGAACAGCTGTTCTTGCACAAAAAGCCTGCAGTGGAGATGTAGCCTTAGTTATCGGTAAGCCATCCGAGGCATACATTACATTTGCACAAGAATTGATTGGAGAGGCATATTCTGGTCCATTGAGTTTTGTAAAATTTAGGATTCTTTAAAAGTCTCTCATACATTTTGTTACTTGCTCTTTCTTAAGTTTTGTTTTCCCTCCCAGTTAATACCTCACCCTAGCATGTTAGATTTCAATGGTATTATTTGCTTTAAGTATGGCCAGAGTCACATAGCATGTGCTGTGGCTTTTGATATTTCAGTGTGAAATGCAGAAAAACTGGCTGTCGGTTATATTTACGGATTATATTCTGAATGGGGACTTTAATCTGTGGTGTTTACCATATGTGAATGTTCAGACATTTTTGGCTATATGTTGTAACAAGGAGCATTCTGGACACATTGTATTGCACATAGCACAAAGCGTGTGTGTTTTGTAGTATAGATACTATGGAATTACTACTAAAATAAAACCATCAATATCAAATTGTGTAACTAAACATATGACTTACTTTTTGGTTTCTTGCAAATGGACCCCTTTTGGTAAGAGCAGAGAATGGTATTCCAGTACCCAGATGATGCAGCCATTTCCACACAATACTCAAAAAGCTTACTCGAAGGCTCTTCTTTTTGCCAATTGACAAAATCTACTGCACTTTTGTCTAGCCATAACCATCGCCCTAATAACAAAATGATTTAATAGGGTAGAAATAACTCACTATCGATGATCTTATTAATATGTGTCAGTCTTAATTTATATTAAATTTTCTTAACTCCTTAAATCTCCTTATTTCATGATTTTTACAAACAGATTTTTACTTCCCTTTATTCTTTTCCCAAGGAAATGTTGTCTTTAGCTTTGCAAATTATGATTCTCCACAATGGAGAATTACACTTCCCTACTTTTTCATCATATATGCCCTTATTTCTCAGTATACGGTGGACAAAAATTTCAAACTTGCATATTAGGCATGCAAATCCATAAAGATGGGATATATTTATTTAAGCACCTAACATCATATGTAGGCAGTTGTCACTGAAAAAGCATGATTATTTTGCTGAAATGCTGAAATATAGACTTACACACTTTAGGAACCTTGCTTTGAAAATTTTGATCATAGTTTTGAAAGGATATTATAGATACTGAAAATATTGGGAGACGGAAGGAGAAGAAAACCTTCTGGTTGACATTAGATTGAGGCTAGTTTGGTCCCTTCCATTTCAACATTCTCTTTATTTGTTCTCCAAAAACCCTGCTAACCAGAAGTCTACTGATTAACTATTCAGTAGCTGTGGAACCAAGACATTCTCTAGCCAGGTTCTCATTGCATTCTAAATGTAGGTACAAGTTAGAACTGCAAAGAAAGAGTCTTTGGGGCCAAATTTGGCCCTGGCTTTGTACCTTATGCACCATGCAAGTGAAGTGTGAAAGGACTGTAAAGTAGCTGCAAGAAGTTAGGGTGACTCGCCCTGGCACAAGTGCAGTGTAGGGCTAATTCAAGATGTGATATGCTGCTGTCAGCTGGCCGCATGCTCCGCGGCTTTGCTCTGCTTTGCTCCCCGTCCCCCAGTCTCCTCTTGCAGGCCAGCAGTAGTGATGAGATAGGAAGAGGATATTCAAAGAGACAGGAGAGGGCATGCCATACAGCTCTTGGTGCTGTGTGAATTCTGGACTGTAGTGCAGTTCATAATATCTGTGGGAGACTTCTATGGGCAGCTCAAATTTAGGCCAGGGTCATTTTGGCCCCCAGGAAAGCCAAGAATATGGGCAACACAAAGGCAGTTTTGTCTGTTCTTCCTAGGATCTACACCTACTGTGTTATGATCCTCATGAGATGTAAGAAAATCTGACCTGTTAAGCTTCTCTCTTTTACAATTTCTCTCCTTGTACACAATTTCTCTCTTTTACAATAGTTCATGGGACTTACTTTTGCAAGATGAAATCAATGCCTCCAAGTGAGATTTTCATATTCAGATCACATAACCCTCTAATGCATTTTTATAGCTGCTTAGTACTCTTTTTAGGTGAATTTCTATTTTCTATGCACCACAGCCAGATGTAATGATATATTTTAATCAGCTTTCAGTCTATTTAATGCAGAATATGTATGATTAAATAGAAAATCTAAAATAATTACCATCAACATTTCTGTACATTCCTGTCCAAAACCCACTTATCTTTCCTTGATGTGGCTCAATAGTGTCGGCTAGAAATTTAGATTCATCTAAATCTTCTATTGAAACCAAAGTAGCACCTGCAACACATGAGAAAACAAATAAGCTGTATCCTGCCATAGAAACCAGTCACAGGTTATGGCTTCTGATGCAATACAAGGTTGTGTAATAAAAGCCCAGGCAGGTGGGTAGGTTAATAAGGTGTAAGTGAGTGTATAAATAAAGACTGCAAGGGGTGCAGGGAAAGTGTGGGTCCTAATTGATGAAATCTGCAATAAAGAAATGTGGATTTCACCACAAACATAATTTGAAAACTTTAAGTTACATCACACAAACAGAGCATTCTTTTGAGACTATTGGAGAAATGCATTTTTATGGACAATATACACTGACAGCTGTCTACTTTTTTGGGGTAAAGAAGGCCCTGATAAAGGGCTCATTCCCCTGGACTGGGGTAACTTCTCTCTCCTCTCTCCACAAATGAGCCTGCAGCTCTGGGCGTTGGGGAAGCTTTGTGCAGCTGATTCTACCACCCCTTAAAGCAACACTGGATTGGAGTGATATGGGGGATGAGGAGCTGCTCTTGGATTGGTAATGGGTGAGTGGGGAAGGAACAAGCCAAAAGCAACAGCATCACGAGAAGGGAAGGAGATAGTTGCTTCTTACTTTCCCTCTCTAGGTTACTGGTGAATCCTATTATGATGAATTTTGCAGCTTTCTGGCAATGGGTGCAACCCCCTTTTGGACTATGCCCCAGCTGCTGACACATACTATGATATAACCTCAGTTTGGACATAGTTGTGCATGCTCCTATTTCTAAATTTATAAAGACACTGTCCAATGGTTTTGGCCAAAAATTGGGGATTGAATGTATTATTTTTTTAAATGAATGACATAATTATAGAAAAAAAAAACCCTAAAAGAGCTATAAGTGACAAGGGAAACTGAGCAGCTTAGGTGAGCGAAATGCAAAACCAAGCAAACAGCATTAATAGTGAAAAATAAATTAAATGTTACAATTCTTTGTTTTGACACACAAAGCTTTTGCTATGTCAGGAGTACAATTAAGGATTTTAAAATGTGAATCTTACATGAACTTTAAAGTCTGACCACTTAATACAGGAGTACACTCACCTAATCGAATGCATTCAGTAGCAGATTCACCCCAGCTGGTACCGTGGGCATTAAAAAAGTAACAATGGCCACGAAAAGGAATCCAAGATACCTGGTTTCTTGATTTAGGACATTTTCCAGGGAGTTGTGGAGGTTCAGTAGGAGCTATGACTGTTAGGGAACAGTTAAAAACTGAAGTCATTGGGAATTTTGCTATTGACTTTAATAACTTAAAACAAATACAGTTCTTAAAAGTTACTTTACAATGCTGTTAAGCATGTTATTGTAAGTAACCACTACTAGCTCAATAAGGATACCTAACATCAAAAGCTCATGGCAGGAGGCAAAAAGGGCAATTGCCCCAGGGCCCAGCGATTCAAAAGGCAGCCTGTAGGCTACTGATGCCCTTCCAGGAGCATGGAACCAGCACCACTAGCCACAGGTGCAACTGCAGATACTTAGGGCACAGCTGACTCTGATAAAAAGGAAGCTGCAGAGCATGCTGGGAGAGTCTGCTGTATGGAGCCAGAGGCAAGAGGCTGGCTTCCAAGAGTGCTGCACAGCTAGCACCAGGAATGGCCTAGCAAAGCCTGGAAGGCTCAAAGTACTCGGGATGGAAGCCGAAAGTGCTGGGGCTGCAGGGAAGTGTCCCAGGGAAGCGGGAGATGGTAGAGTTGGAGGAGAGGCAGTGAGGTGCTGCTGCTAAAAAGATCCTGAGTCAGGGCCCAGAATAGTGGGTGGGCCTGACCCCTCCTCTCATGCCTGAGCAAATTTTCAAGTGATGAAAGTGCCCAGGATAGACTTCAGTTTGCCTCTGGTGTAAGAGACCAGACTGAGGACTGCTGTGGGCCCCTGAGACAAGTGAAAAGACAGGAGGGCTCTGTAGGAGGTATAGATTAATTGAATCAGATTGACTAATTGAATTATTCAAAATGGAATAATTTTCTAAAGTAAAAATTGCAAGCAGGACATTTCTAGCCAGTTCCAATTATTGCATTGCATGGGACAATCTTACACTGGTGAAATATTAGTGTTGCAGCCTCTTGTTATGCAGCATTTTCTGCAATTAATCAAGTCACACCAATAATCAGTAACACAAATCAACTGCTTCTATGGTCTGGTGCAGAAGCCTGGGGAGAAGGACTGGATGGAGTACAGCACAATCTGGCTATGCTCACAGTATTAGCAGCTTGCAAAGGCTACAGCTAACTACAAGATGTAAAATCAGAACTACTAAAACTCCAGGGCTGTGTCTAGACTGGCCAGTTTTTCCGCAATATCAGCTGCTTTTGCAGAAAAACTTGCCAGCTGTCTACACTGGCCGCTTGAATTTCCGCATGAACACTGACGATCATGCCAGTCTAGACGTAGCCCAGGTGAGTGATATATGTGCTTCTATCATATGGCCCACAAAGGGACAAGAAGCAGAAGTGAAAACTTCAATAGTATTTTCGGATTAAATCTAAAATTTAAATTAAACTTTTGGATGCAAACTCATATGAGCTGAAACATACACCATAAGCTTATTCTGACTCAGTTCAGCCAAAAATGTTCTACTCACTTTTAAGCTTCCTGTCACTATAGCTAACAGTAATTCCCCTGAGCTATGTCTAGACTGGCATGATTTTCCACAAATGCTTTTAACGGAAAAGTTTTTCCGTTAAAAGCATTTGTGGAAAAAAGCACTTTTTGCGGAAAAGCGTCCGTGCCAATCTAGATGAGCTTTTGCGCAAGAAAGCCCCAATCGCCATTTTCGCGATCAGGGCTTTTTTGCGCAAAATAATACCACGTTGTCTACACTGGCCCTCTTGCACAAAAGCATTTGAGCAAGAGGGCTTTTGCCCGAACGGGAGCAGCATAGTATTTCCTCAAGAACACTGACAATCTTACATGAGATCGTCAGTGTTCTTGTGCAAATTTAAGCGGACAGTGCAGACAGCTGGCAAGTTGCGGAAAAACTTGCCAGTCTAGATGCAGCCCAGCTGTAGCACAAAGGGTCAGATTTTCTGAAGCAGAAGAGGCTGCATTCTCTCCCAGATGATGGCTGGATATGTTTTAGTCATTGGCTGTGATAGGTTTGATATTTCAACATGTCCACCAGTGATTTTTTTTTTTTGCCTCCTATAGCATATTAACCAACAGTTAGGCTGTGTCTACATTGGTGCGATCTTGTGCAAAAGCCTAAACTTGCTGCATGTCTACACTGGCCGCGAGTTCTTGCGCAAGTACACTGACGTTCTAATGTATGAAATCAGTGCTTCTTGCGTAAGAACTCTGATGCTCCCGCTCAGGAATAAGCCCTCTTGTGCAACTGTTCCTGCGCAAGAGGCCAGTGTAGACAAGCAACATGAATTTCTTGCGCAAGAAAGCCTGATGGCTAAAATGGCCATCGGAGCTTTCTTGCACAAGAGAGCGTCTACACTGGCATGGATGCTTTTGCACAAAAGTACATCTCTTGTGCAAAGGCACATGCCAGTGTAGACGCCAGTGTAGACACTCTCTTCTGGAAGAGTTTTTGCACAAGAACTCTTCCGCAAAAGAGTTCTTGTGCAAGATCACGCTAGTGTAGATGTAGCCTTTAGGGTATGTCTACACTACAGAGTTTTGTCAGAAAAATGGCTGTTTTTCCAACAAAACGTGAGTTATGTCCACACTGCAAGTGCATTCTCTTGCAAGTAAATTGAAAGAACAGAGGGATTTTTTACAATTCTCATTCTACGAGGAAGAAGCCTTTTTGCGAAAGAACTGTTTCGGAAAAAGTCGTGTATGGATGGATTCTCTGTCTGCAAACAGTCTGATGGTAATCAATTAAACGTAACAGTTTTAATTTGTTGCTCAGGAATTTGAAAGCCTGCACTAGAGCTTGGATTTGGTTTTACAACAATATATACTATTTAACATATTAACGGAGAGAGAACCCATCAAATACATAACTCTATTTTACATTAATTGCATTTTTCAAACAAGTACTTATTGTTACAGATGGTTGCTTCTTTTAGGGACTCAGGAGATAACCAATGAGTAATATACAATTTCAAAGTTATCCCCAAAAGCCAAACTGAACATGTGTATTACTAGAATATGTGTCAGTACTTTAAAAGTCTTAACATAGAGTCTCTTTATCCAGTTGAATGGATACATAGGAATTTAGGGGAGTTGGCACTGATCAATAAAGTCCAATGGAAAACAACCAATTTGTATACAGTAGCACAAATGCCAGTGCTCTGGCCAATAAGGCCACTACACTGCAACAATTGGAAAGTAGCCTGGATTGTTATAGATGGTTACTCTAGTTAGCTATGGAAACAATGACATAGGTTACATCTAGGCTGCATCTAGACTGGTAAGTTTTTCCGCAAAAGCAGCTGCTTTTGCGGAAAAACTTACCAGTCTAGATGCAGCCTAGATGTAACCTATGTCATTGTTTCCATAGCTAACTAGAGTAACCATCTATAACAATCCAGGCTACTTTCCAATTGTTGCAGTGTAGTGGCCTTATTGGCCAGAGCACTGGCATTTGTGCTACTGTATACAAATTGGTTGTTTTCCATTGGACTTTATTGATCAGTGCCAACTCCCCTAAATTCCTATGTATCCATTCAACTGGATAAAGAGACTCTATGTTAAGACTTTTAAAGTACTGACACATATTCTAGTAATACACATGTTCAGTTTGGCTTTTGGGGATAACTTTGAAATTGTATATTACTCATTGGTTATCTCCTGAGTCCCTAAAAGAAGCAACCATCTGTAACAATAAGTACTTGTTTGAAAAATGCAATTAATGTAAAATAGAGTTGTGTATTTGATGGGTTCTCTCTCCGTTAATATGTTAAATAGTATATATTGTTGTAAAACCAAATCCAAGCTCTAGTGCAGGCTTTCAAATTCCTGAGCAACAAATTAAAACTGTTACGTTTAATTGATTACCATCAGACTGTTTGCAGACAGAGAAATAATTTTCATCACAGGATGCTGTCTTCCAGGTTCCATCAAGGTCTAGATAGACACAAGCTATTTCCTGTTTTGGTTCCCTTCTAGCCCAGTTAGAATATTTGATTTTCCTGTGATCAGTCCATCTGTAATAGCCATCAGTCTAAAAACCCAAATAACCTGAATTAACAAACAGTAGCTCATAGACACAAACGTGATATTCTGTGTTTACACTCTAGCCTCCTGTTTCAGATCAGGGAATATATATCCCCTTGTGATATATGTAGCACCATTTAGAAGGGAACAAATATGAAATTACCGGGGGAAGAAATAGAACATGCCTAATGCATGCAACCCTTCTGCCAGGGGGAGTCAGCACCAACAAGGACTAGGTTCAGTGTCTAAAGGTTTCTCTTAACTACACAAAGTAGAACTGGATTGAGCACAGTAATCTGGGAAACTAAATACTGCCCAGGGGAACCTCTCAAAGGTAACACTTCCCCACTCCAGGCCTGTGAGTGGGGCGGAGAGGAAAAGGGGCAATGCCCCAGGGACCTAGACAATTTAAAAGGGCTCAAGGGTGCCAGGCCTTGCCACCACCCAGGCTAAGGGAGGGTTCCTGCCCACCCCTCAATCCATGCCACTCCTGGAAGTGTCCAGCACTGTCCCTGGGAGGGTTCCTGCCCACCCCTCAATCCATGCCGCTCCTGGAAGTGTCCAGCACTGTCCTTGGGTTCCCAGGATGGGGGTGTCTTTGCGGCTCCTACTGG